ATGTATCCGAGCTTACTGATGATTCATCTCAATTAGGAAAGGCGCTTGTATACCTTTCAGTTATTGGTGTATATGTTGATACTGTGCATTATTAACCAATTGAGTGGAACCTAGAGTATTTGCGGCCTTTTTAACTGCGTACTCTTTGGCAAAACATTTTTCGATATTTTTTCTCTCGGATCTGTCTTATATACGTAATGGGGCGGTAGTTGGCAAGCAAAACACACTCATGGAACTCAATACCTTTTCAGTATCCGACATTTCACAGTATTAGCTTGTATGCCTACCATTAGTACTTTTTCGACTCCTATAGAAACACGAAATGAGTTGATATTCGGACAATTGTTTCCTTGAGTGTTTTTTTTTTGTTCTGGTCCATAACCAATGGAAAAACACCCAAAATGATCAGAACTTGGGTACTATTCCCTCGAGAGACACAGATACCCCAACTGAAGCAATATGTGGTTCGTCGACAGAAGATCAGTGTTAATACAGGTCAAGGCGCAAAATGTAAACCCTCTGGCACGCAGAGATCTTCGCCGAATTGAATGTTGTATGTACTCCATGCTGATATTCAACTGTTCAACAAGCAGATCACAGGATATAGAGTCAACTCAGCTTCCATTTGATCCAGCGGCACAAGTCTCTTGTGATCGACCTTTTGGTCTGCAAAGGCATCTTATCTTCACATTTCCACGGATCGTATAGAAAAAGCCGTTTGTACCTAGTGATAGGACGCCTGATATGACAATTTAATCCGCTTCAATTTTAATTGATGGAAATACTCTCAATACGACAACCGGACTGATCAATTCTCGTACAGAATCCCCTGCTGCAATATAGCTACATGTATCCGTGTTGTCTACATCCACTTTCTTTTGATATTATGAATCAAGGTCGATCCCATGGAGTATACGATTTAGCAATTCATTGGTGTAAATACATTTTTGAACGATCTTCATGCACGTTTCTGACTCCTGACACAAACACTAGACTCATTCACTCTCATATAATACCGAATCCCTAAATACTACACAGATTTCTAATCCCCAGTGTGACATTGAAGGTACTCACTTATGGGATTGCTACTTCATTATAGAACAAACAAGGCAGAGCACTGCCGTATACAATGCTTAACTGGTAACCACAGCACTAATGATGACTGAGACAGACACATGAAATGTATGCAGATAATGCACAGGGAGGCGGAATTATACTTTCTATTCACCCGCATGCAGATTGTGCATAGCCGCATACATGAAACTTCATGCATGGTGATGTGCATAAATGCTGACGAAGACCGGGTTCGCAACGAAAGGTCTTAAGTGCAAGAGATATTCTCAATTCAGTGGTGTGTTCTTCAAGTGTAGAAATGTACAAACAAGCGACTCATGCTATAGACGTGTACAATTCAATTTATCACGGCAAAAAAGCTACCCTCTGCCTTTTCTTAGGTCCCCTCGTGTTATATACAGCGCTCATGTAATTCATGACAGAGACCCCCGAAGTGGAAATTAGGATTTTAACCTTCCTCCTTACCTTCACGTTTGGCTCGCAAACCCCATCTCTGATTTGATCTAAATACGCCCTAAGTTTGATGTTACGGTTGACGGGCCCAGGGACCACGAAATATCCTTCGCCTTTGAAAGTTTTGACAACGGTTAATTCAGGCTGTTCAGATCTGCCTACTTTCTTCTTTTTTTGTCCTTTTAAGCAGTGCATTGCATATGCGTGTGTGTTTCAATTCTGGCCCGCATACCATCAGTCTCATACATATAACATAGATATGAGATAGCACACGTAAAACACACCCTTTGGCTTCTTTTCTTTTTATTTTGGTTCTGTTGGGGTTATGAAAGTTACAACTTGTTTTTATTCTACCTGCCCACAGTCACGGAGCTAAAGGGGGCTAAATCATAGTAAGTCCACTAAGGTGATGGTGACCTCGCTATAATATTAAAGCAAAATCTCTAGGAATAGGATGTATCACAATTATCTTAAGTACTGTACAACCTAGACACACAAGCAATGCTGTTCGGTTATCCCAACTCTATACACACAATTGCAATTTGGACTCTGCAGGCAGCAAGTGGTACATCCCAAAGAGAAAGTTTCCTTTTTTTCCCTTTATGTGTGTAAGTTCATGTGCTATGTACGTTGAAGTTCGTTCATATCGAGACGACTCTGATGCCTAGTTCCACCGGGACCTAAATTCTGGTTACGTCGATTTCTGTACGCCGTACGGTCAGAAAGTACAAGCACAAGAGAGACGTGGGACCTTGAGAGAAGGACAAAAAAGTTTTACTATGAATCAGCCTGTTCAGTGGAACTTGTCACACAGTGGAAGAAGGGCTGTACGGCAATTTGGTTCTCAAAGAAAAATGAAAGAATTTAATCACACCGAGAGGGCCTAAAATGCACATATAAGCACCGAGGCATCCGCCTGTGTTGTGCGTTCTCTTTTATTTTCTTTTGATACTTCTTCGAATATATCTGTCTACCAACGTTTTTTTACCATCTATACAGTGGTGATAATACTAATTGGGCCATATATTATACACACTATTTCTCTATTTGATTGGAAAAAAACGTCACAAATCTGCACATTTTGTCTTCCCTTGATAATCGTCTGATCTTTTATGGTATTATCTTGAACGGTTGCAAACAAGAACAAGAAGTGCCTCCAGTTGACTCAGATAAACCCAACACTACCTCTTTCATTTTAAGGTCTGTTAAGGTATCATAAAGGATATATGCTTACTGAGAGCGTGAGGCCAATTCACTTTCCTATGCAGCAGGGAATTCCTAATGATCAGTCGAACACATCGTCACAGATCTCGATCAACAACACCGCAAACGGAACAATGAATATGTACGATACAACGGCAATGGCACCGGCAACGTTTGGAGACCAACAGAGGTATCAAGAGCAGATGAACTTCCAGATGATGCAGCAACAACAATATCAGCAGCAGCAGCAAGGTGGAATGCAACCCATTTATCCAGGAAACTACGCTTCAATGCAAATCTCAGAGCCTCAACAGTCATATCAACAAACCAATGACTTGCAGTCGAATCAGATACAGCAGCAACAGCAGCAGCTACAACTACAGCAACAGCAACAGATGCAAGCGCAACAACAACAGTTACAGCTACAGCAACAACAACAACAACAACATCAACAGCAGTCATATAATGCGTACAAGCCGAGTTATGAGATGGAGCCACGTTACTTCCCATCGCCACAGCATCAACTTCTACAAGTTGGTCCAATATCTCAGACTCCTGATGGGCAACTCACACCGGCTCCACAAGCCCAACAGCATCAACAACAGGTCCAGCAGGTGCAACAAGCTCAACAAGTACAACCACAATCACAATCACAAGTACAAACTCCACTCCAACAAGCTCCTCAGCAGGTACAACCTCCGATTCAATCACAGCCTATTATTCAGAGAACTGTCTCAGAAGGGACATATTTCCCACCTCAGCAGCCTTATATGATTCCATCTGCAGGTTTGAGTACTAGCAGTTTCAGCAGTGTAAGCAGTCATTACACTAGTGGTCAACAGAGCACTGTCAATTCTTTGAACAACAGTTCAGCCTCTATCTCTACCCTTGTTGGATCTTCTTCAACATCAAACTCCTCAACTTCATCCAATGTGCGCAAGGTTCCAAGGGCTCAGACATGTCATAAGTGTGGACGTTTAATCTCAAGAGACATGTCTAGACACATGAGAATCCATGAGTCTGTGTCACGTTTCAAATGCATCTACCCAAGAGAGAACTGTGCTCATAAATCTGGGTATTTCAACAGACAGTATGACTACAAGAAACATTTACTTCATGCCCATTTTGCATTCGACGATCCAAAAGTGAGGAGATTTAACGGATTGAATGAGAAGTTGAACTACAGTGGACAATGCCCATGTGGTGAGGTTATGACTGCTGATGAATGGTTGGCTCACATCACGACAAAAGGCACAGATGGTCTTTACATATGTCCTGATCTTAGACAGAGATGGCGTGATGCATTACCTTCTATCCAGGATAACGATAGTGTTAAATCAGAACAAGCACCAGAGACTGGACCTCTTTCTGTTTGACCCCTGTTGTTCAATTGGTCACGCTTTGTGCTGTACATTAAGAAGAAGAAGAAGAAGAAGAAGAAACGTGGGATGGGGTTTTTTAATTTGTTTCTTGGGACGCTATTTTTGATTTGTATTTGTTTTTGGTTATCTATAATCTTCAGTTCTCGGTTTGTTTTCGGTATTATGTGCATTCATAATATATACAGAAGTTGTCTCTTTATTCACGCTTTGTATAGCAGTAAATCGTCTCTATGTAGCGTGCAGGCCGTGATCGAACCCCTATGAAGCGCAGAATGCTGGGGTGTGAGTATTCGAGCTGGCGTGATGGCCTGCACACCTTGAATGAGAACACATTGTCCAGATCTTAGGCCCATTGTCAAGATTAAGGTGTATTATGCATGAAGCTCTACATGGACGTCATTGCGTGGTTATTAACACTACGAGCATGGATCTACAACTACATAAGGAGCTATAAAGTTTCACGTGTCATCAGTGAAGTTGTCATAGTTATCGCTAGTCTGGAGGGGAAAGAAACTCACGGACTTTTGAACGCTTCAACGGAACAGAGTGTGTGATCAACTCTATTGTGGGAGGAAAAAAAAAGGTAAATTCTCGCAGTGGTTTGGTTTGTAATAATTGACTAATCGTCCAAATTCACCTCAACTGAAACGAGATGTCCATCCCTGTAGCCTCTTCCAGTTATAAAATAGAATCGTAAAATTGAGGGTCCAATACGTACTCACATTTTGCAAGATACATAAACTTTGTTTTTCTGCCTACGCTTCTGCTTCCACAGACAAGACAAACCCAAATCTGTCTGGCGCGCACCCGGGAAAAATGGACAAGAGGACACACACGCAGGAAAGAATGCGCTGGTGATGTCGATCTGTCTGCAGAGCACAACTTTTAACATGGGAAAATGTCCGTAATTGTACGAATTGTCCCAAATCTTCCATGGACATGTCTGTTTTTCCATTTTCAACCTGTTGATGTAGACAAAGCTCCAACAAGGTGACAACATGTATACACGACGGTGGTTCTTTGCCGATGATTCCAGTACAAACAGTAGATATGATCTCCCAGTATATTCGTCTACGCCTATGTCTTGGGATCAACTCATCATGCTCTCGTATTGGAAGGGTCACATACATAATGCCATATATATGTCGTAGACACTGCATGTACCGAAGCACCAAGGCTTATAACCAAGCTGACATTATTAATCATTATTCACGTATCCGGCTGAATGAATTATACTTTTATTTGCATACACAAGTTAAAGTGGGTTAAGCTACTACACTGAGCTGGGTGGGAAACGAGGTAAAGGCTGCTTTCAGTATGTAATATGAGGCTACTTTACCTTTTGGAATATGTACACGGGTGGTTTCGATTTTTGGTCTAAAGGTTCAACTGTAACACTTCAGCAGAGTGTGATCTCATTTCTTCAAAAACTTATCAGCAGCTCCCTTCAAAAAGTCCAAGAACTTTGAATGGTGAGGCTCGCAATTGTCGTGCTCTGAGTTCGACGTCGACGATGAGCCATTTCCTGTTGAGCTGCTGCTCTTCCACTCTTCAGTACGAGTTGCACTGGAGTCACCCAGCTGATCAGCCAGCGCCTCCAGCAGTGCCCTCTCAGCTGGAGAGTTTGGTCTTGATACTTTCACACGGAATTTCAGCTTCATATCACCTCTGTTGTTCAGGTTATTGCGCTTTGGGAATCCCTTCCCACTAATTGATAGCACCGATCCGGTCTCTGTGCCTGATGGAACTCTCAGTCTAACAGAAGGTCCATCCACGGTTGGCACTTCAACGGTTCCTCCTAAGGCAGCAGTCGTATAAGGAATCTCCACTTCGTGGACGATATCCGAGCCGTCGAGTTTGAATCTTGGGTCCGGCTTAACAACCATACGAATGATCAAATCACCCTTCGATAAGTTAATCCCCGGACCTGAAGTTGCCCTCGGTGCGTCACCTTCTCCACCGACTCTTAGTCTCATACCGTCCGTCAATCCAGCTGGTAGATCAACCTCAGTAGTCTTGTTGGCAGACACAACACCTTCACCATGACAAGAAGAGCAGGCATCTCCTGGCGATATCGAAACTCCCGTACCACCACAAGACATACAAGTAGAAGCCATCTGGAATCCCCCGTGGACGTAGTGCGTAGTGGAACCGGTACCGTTACAGGAGGAACATGTAGATTTCTTTTTGCCTGGTTTCAAACCTGAGGCATGGCACGTACCACAGGTATCCAGTACTTGGTAATCCACTTTGGAGTTCTTTACACCAAATATGGCCTCTTTTAGAGTCAGTCTCTTGAGAATCTCAACGTTGTCACCCCTGATGTCTTGGACGTAGGAGGAACCGGCACCTCCACGTCCACGCCCACCACGACCAGCACCACCGCCAAACGCTTGTCCAAACAAATCTTCAAAGCTAAACCCTCCAAATCCTTGCGCAGAGCCGAACGGAGAGCCCTGAGACCCAAACGGTGAGCCTTGGCCGAATGGATTACCACCTGCGAATGGGTTTCCCTGTGGATTACCGTTGGAGTCGAACGCACTCGCACCAAACTGGTCGTATTGCTGCTTCTTTTCAGCGTCGCTCAAAATCTCATAGGCGCCTTGGATGTCGTGGAACTTCTTCTCTGCATCCGGCTCCTTGTTGATATCCGGGTGGTATTTCTTAGCCAGTTTGTAGTACGCCTTCTTGATCTCCGACGACGAGGCAGAGCTATCCACCCCCAAGGTCTTGTATGGGTCCTCCAACCTCTTGATCTGTGTAGCGTGGAATTGACGGCGGGACACCAGCGCCGGCGCCCATACACCACGTCTCTTTGTCCCACAACTCTTGGTGAATGACCGTGTGGTCCTGGTTAACGTTGAAAGAAGTCTCTGTCTGTTCATTGGTCACTTGGCTAACAACACTACAACCTTCACAGAACGTGTAATGCCTCCAATGGGCTCTTAAAGAGAGAAAGCCCATCGCAGTTCGCCGCCCAAAAAGTTTCCACAGAGTTCTAGAAATGCGGTTCGGCCACTACGCTATCTACAGAGAGACGGGGGACAGAGGCAGAGAGTCCGTTATAATTAGAGGGAGTAATACAATCAATTGGACCAGAATTCGCCATAGTCACCGCTGTCGACTCTTTTCCTCAGTGCTCGAGTCAACTGGATCCCAACCTCGTACTTCTCCTTCTCCTTTTGGTCCAGGAAGCTGTTCAAGCGTTCAATTGCGTACTTAAGCTTCCGAAGCTCGGTTAAATCGCTTGAAACACCAGCTGTGTCGATGAGGTTGTTGAGGTAATCAATCTCCTTTTGCAATTTACGTGTCTTTTGGGCCAATTCTTGTTCGCGTTGTTGTAACGACTCGATCTTCTTACGCGACTGTTCGTCCTCGTCCTTTGATTTGATGCCAACAAACTTTGGCGCACTGTCCCTTTCACGTACTCTCATCACTTTTAGTGGTGTGAATAGAGCCTGTGAGACTGATTTGGGGATATCTTTTCTAGCCTGCTGAGCAGGTTCAACATTGGCCTTGTTGGCACCGTTGGTGCTCTCAATAACGCCGTTCTCTTTGACGCCATTGGCAGTGGTATCGCCCACCGTCGCCTTGACATCGACATCGACAACATCAACATCAGTCTGTGTAGTACTATCCCTGTGACTGGAGTGATCAGATAAAGCTACATCATCCTTCTGTACTTCACGCTCCCCATCACTCGTCTCATCATCGTCGCGTTGAATCGGTTTAATAGGACTCGAAGCCTTCAACTCTTCAACTTCGCGTAGTAGATTATCAATCTGTTCGTCTGTGGTATCAACTTGCTGTTTGTCCTCCGCCTGTTCATTGGGTGGTGTGCTAGGCTCGCTCATCTTTGCCGTTCTTATCTACTCCTATCCTGTTTGTCTATTAGTCGTTGTTTATACGCCTTCTTGTTTTCAATTTTTGGACAAGGTCGGGTAAAGCTTGGACAATTTACCGCGCTGGCGCACAACTTTGCAACGGGTAAGAACCGATGGAGACCCCCCAGACGCCTTTTTCGTTTTCTTGGAATGGATGTCTGGGTGTGGAAAACTAGGCGGTGGATTTCGGTGGAAGGACAAGGTGGGCGGGTAAATTCAAAAGGGGGGTTTAAATCAACATCGGAAAGGACAAAGGACATAGGACAAAAGACAAAGAACAAGGACATAGGACAAAGGACAATGGCTGATAAATTCCCTGAGATTGACGTTCCTACCAACGGCGATGAGAACCTGGACGAGGACTTTCTAGCAAGAGAGAAGGAGATTCTTGGTGACGACGCTGAACAGTTCAAGACAGAGCAAGACGAGGAATTCTTAAGAGACCAGGAACAAGACGAGGTCAAACAGTTCGAAGAGCAATTCCCAGAGGTGTCCAACGACCAGTTCCAAAAGTCCGAGGAGTTAGAACAGCAAGAACAAGAGGAGGAAGAGTTTGGTGAAGCAGCCTTCAACCCTCCAAAGACAGAGTCAGATGCCGTTAAAGAATGGAGACAGCGTTATCAACTAGAGATTCAAGAACGTGACGAGGCAAATGATAAAAAGACCAAAGAGACTAGAGAACAGGCCTCCAAGGAGCTGGAGACTTTCTATGAGGAGTACAACAACAAGAAGGATGACAACATTGAAAAGGTTCGTGATGCCGAGAAGGCATTCTTGGAGAAGAGAGACGCCTTTTATACAAAGGGTAACGTCTGGTCAAGGGCCTTGGACTTGGTGAAGGACTCAAAGACAAACCCAAGGTTCAAAGAGCTCTTGGAGGCCAAGTCGAAGGCAACTTCTACTTGAAACTAATGAAAAGATTTATATAGAAAGAGAAAGTGAATGCTTCCTTTTTTCATTGTCTCGTGGCATTATAGATTTTCGTTTAAACGTGTAGTTGCCGTTGCTGTCGTCATTGGTACTGTCGTATCGTCATCACGGGGCAGTTGAGTTGTGCCCACTGCAGGGGAATCACCACTCTCTTGTCCTGTGACGTTTGCAGTTGTGGTTGTGGTTACTGTTGAGCTCGTAGTGCCATGGCTATGGCCTGATGTTGAGGTGGAGTTGGAATCAACACACCAATGCTTGTGGTAAACCCACGCTTTCAACTGACACTCTTTGGAGCAGTACTTGGTACGTTTACAACGGCGACATTTGGCAAATTGCCGTGGAGTGGTTTCCCATTTACCACAGTCGAAACATGCACACTGTCTGACACCACTCTCTGCTTTACGACACGAGTTACGCATCGTGACACCAGCCCAATAACATATGTCTGAGGTGTTGACTGTTTTAACGGTGAACTTCTCCACCAATGGGAAGATGTTCAGCTCCTCAATGCAGTTCTCTTTGGTTTGACAGTCATCCTCGGGAGAATGGGTCAAGAAATAGGTATCGTAGTCCCACTTCTGTAGATACTCGTCTTTTTCGAATATTGATCTTTTGATGGATGAAATCTTTGAAGCGATACACCTCTTGGAATAGAAATTGTTCAGCTTGCATCCCAATTCGATAAAGTTCAAGGTCTTCTCCTCGTTAGAGGTATAGTCTTGTATGTTGTTAACTGCTGATGTCTCGTCCTTGAAGGAGCAGCGTTTACAGCACTTCTCAAACTTCAAGATCGATTTCAGCAGCGACTTGGTAATACAACTAGACTTTGAGCTTGAACTCACGTTTGAAGGTGTGCGTGAAGTTGAACAACATGGATCATCGTCCTCACCAAACTTCGGAGATGAACTAGAGGTGTAATCGTGCAAGAGATATCCAAACTCTCCCGAGTGAATCAGCTGTGGGTCCTTGGGGTTTGCGGCAACCAACTCTTCGTTTGAACAGTTCGTCATATGGATATGGACATCCTCTGATGACGTTAAGGGGATGGAGTTCTCGGAATTCGGCTGGGTCTGCGGTTCTAACCTTTGCGATGACGACGCCGACGAGGTGTTTTGAGAGGTGATCTGTGATGAATTTTGTGTAAACTGTGTTGAATGTTGGCTCTTTGGTTGCTGTTGTTGTTCATTCTCATCTGATGACAAGTTTGATATTAGTTCAATCTCCAGGTCGTCGTCTTTGTCCAGAGCAGGTATAGAGGCTGGACTATGGCAGTTCTTCAACAAAGACCTTAGGGAAATGGACTCCACCAGGTGAGTATGTTGTAGATTACTCTTTAGATAAGAATACTTCGAAATGAACGCCAAAAGCTGCAGCGACCACACAACATCGTCGTCCTTGGGAACCAGGATCCCCCTCAAGAAGAACCTTGGTGATGTAATCGTATTGTTAACGTCGTGTAGAGTCTGCTGAGCAGTGATGTCGGAGATGTTATGCATCACCTCAACGTCTTGTTCATTGTTGCCACCTGAGCCATGCTCATTCCGTACGCTTCCCAGCAAGCTGTGCAGCTCAGAATTGGAATCGACAAAAGTGCTCAAATCCTCGTCATCGTTGAGCCTCTCCGCACAAGCCTGTTTCCCACGTCTCTGTAGTATCTGTAGCTGTCTCTGGACGAGATCAATGAACCGATCGCTCAGCGTCGTATCGGTCCTCGAGTCGAAATCTCTCGTCGCAAGCAGGTAGTTGTCCAGCACCGTGGCGATGATGGGGATGATGCCGGCCTGAACCACCCGTTCTCTAATCTTCTCCGTGCCTCTGGTGCCAATCAGCACCAGGCATTGGAACGCCAAAGTCCATTTCCACGCAATCAGAGCGTCTCGCTTCTCTTCCGCAATCGACTTATCAACGCCTTTCGCCTGCCTCTCCAGCACATAATCCATATCAGCATCCTCTTTCCTGCACTCGTACAGTATCGACACCAACCGTTCCAGCCCTCCATCGCTCGCAAGCGTCTCGCGCACTTTGGCTGACGACGACGTCAGAAACGTCAGATGGTTCAGCGAGTTCACCAGCGGCCGATCACACGTAGCATCCAGTGCTCTTCTATCGTAGAGGTTTGTGGTGATCGAAACCGCAGCTCTGTTCTGCGTGATTGATTTGTTGTTCGATTCTCTCATGACAACATACAGACAAATGGTTCTCTCCTCGGTGGCGGCGGCTTTCCTTTTGCTGTGTTGATCCAACGGATGGGGGGAGTTTGACGTTAAATTTGTGAGTGTGTTCCTGTTGTGTATAATGTCCCAGTGAACCCTTTTTGTGGACTTTTATATCAAAAAATGTCTTGCAGTGGCGTCTTTATGTCTGTTTTTTATTTTTCTTCTCTTTCTTTCTTTCAAATCCCCTTTAGATTATCACAAAATGTCTCGTTATGAGTTGTTGTTTTTTTTCTCTGGCTTTCCGCTTTCTGTGCGTTTCTTTTTTTCTTTGTCTCCTTCTTCCCTTTTCGGTCTGTCGATTCGCCTCCCCCTCCCTCCACCGCGATTTTGCCGCTCGATCACCAGAAATCGGACATGATCAGATGAAATGCTTTGCGGACAGAAGAAAAGTGACATTACGTAACCTGTGTGGCGTAACCGTTAACTGTAAGACCTGAGCCTTTGCGGTCGGTGTTTGAAGCTACATACGCCTCCACCACAGAGGCTGGTGTTGTGAATAGGCAGAGTACCACGGTAATTTGATAACTAGCAATAGATAATGTATACAAAAGCAGCTTATACAACCCCTTCCTTCAGTGACAGGAAGCTGTGAACCCTTTTAACCAGCTTTTCCTTCCAATAATGGAAGGTTCGGTGCGTTTCATGGTGGTGGTGATTAACAGCTTCAGCGTTCTCATCGTTCCCAGTGACTGGCTCACCGCTTTGGCGACGCGATGCCACTGAGCCCTCTTGTAGCCTCTTTTGGAACTCAGGATTACTGAATAAGCAGTCGTCGTCTTTGCCGTGAATCCACTTGCTCATCCCCAACGACTTCCGCAACGAGTGGCTCCTATTACCCGTCTCGCCGTGGTTTTCGTATGTCGTTATCTGTCTTAAGAATTGCTTGGTCTTTGTCCTCAATCTTCTGAGCGAGCCCATTGACGAATGGTTAGCACCTTGCGGAGAGCTCTTCTTGTACTCTTCCGGTGTGACGGTTTGGCCCGTCTCGTAGGTTATAGGTGTGGCTCTAGGTGTGTCGCCCATATCTTCCTCCTGATGCTGCTCCTCATCGTTAAACCCATGCGTATAGTACACATATCTCACGTATGTCTCGTAAATCGGGTCCATCTCGCCATCGACTAATATCACGGCACCGTCCACTACGTTCTCCTTGTCTTGGTACTCCTTGTGCTCCTCAGAAGGCTGTTCGCCACGCTGCCCGTGCTCCCCCTCTGTGTCATTAGCATTGGCTTCTTCAGGCGCGCTGTCATCTGTGAAGTATCCTTCACCATGTGGTTGCTTCATGAACCATTTCAAAGGAGAGTGAAAGAATAGATTGTTCGGCACAGGCTTAGGGCTCAACCCGTCACCTTGCTCATCTATACGAGAGGCTGTGGGGAGGTTATCAATGGGTTCATACGGAGCAATGCCATCTCCATCTCCGGTTTGAGATAAACACTCATCTAATGGAAGACTCGATGGAGAAACCGTTGACATCGCAGACGCGCTCACAGCTGATGAGCCCTGGTACACTCGAAGTATACTGTTTATTGCAGACATCGCCAACCACGCGCCAACTCTTTGTACAGTAAGTAAACATCAACATCAACAAAGAGTGTTGATTTGTATGTTTGGGGCATTTTGTGTCATTATAATATACTGAGCTTTTGTGGTGGAACTCACACACGGATCTATACAGCTTGAATGCATCATTTCTCCTTTAAGTCGAGGCCAGACTTATTAAAAGGCTTCTGGTGCTTTCTCTCATTCCAATGCAACTGTGAGCCTAATCGTTCAAACCAATCATCACGGATACCATGCTTCTTGATACAAGGTAATGGGTATCTGCTTGCAGTTATTGTAATGATATCTCCCTTGAACAACTCAACACGTTGTCTACCATCAAATGAGCACCACGCTGTACTTCTGGCATCGTATGGCACCCCCAGTCTAAGAACGATACTGTCAGGTATGACGAGTGGTCTAAAAGACAAGGTATGTGGGCAGATTGGGGAGATTAAGATCCCTGGAATCTCAGGGTGCACAAGAGAGCCGCCTGCACTCAAGGAGTATGCTGTTGAACCACTAGGTGTTGATATGATCAGTCCATCAGCTTCTGCTGTGGTCAAGGCAGCACGGTCGCTAAACATCTCCAAGGATGTCATGGTGGAGTTTGGACCACGATCAACAACAACTTCGTTAAACACGGTGTAAGTCTCTTCGATGTCGTGCGTGGCATCTGCAGTTTTACCCAGTTGGCCAACTTCCTCAACCAAATCGTAAGTTGGATCATCTGGGTGCTTTGATCTCATAACCGTGCATTCGAATCTCATTCTGATGGAGCATTGATAACCCTTTTGGATGATCCTGGTCAGAGTCTCTTCAAAATCTGCCACGCTGAAGTTTGTCAGGAACCCCAAGCTCCCCAAGCAGAACGGCAACACTGGAGGAATTGTTGATTGAAATAACCAAGATGCATATAGCACCGTACCGTCACCACCAAATGTTAACACAAGGTCAAAGATTTCAGGTCTGTAAAAGCATTTGTCTGCTTGCCATATCCTTATCCTTGAGGCAGCACTTGAACTCACACTCTTTACACTCTCAATGTCATAAACAGCCGAGTTTTCAATCTTATCCTCGATATAGACTTTGATCTCATCGTTATAACCCAGGAGGAACTTTGACACGGTCGAGGCCCATTTCACAGGCTCAGGATCCTGTAACTTGGTCACTATCAGGATGTGATTCATCTTTGATCTGATATTGACTCTATTCAAAGTCTGCTCCAAGTCACGGATCCCTCCAATGACTTTGCCCAGCTGACTGTTCGTCATCAGAGCTGAAGAGATGCTTGAAAGTTTATGCTCGAGACATAACTTGGATATGTCCAACTGGTTTTTGTTATTGGTCTTCAATTCCAACGGCTGGGACTCCTCCAAGTCAAACAAGTCAACATGATTCAATTGGGCATTCAACAACGTCGGTATCACAGCGTTATTCCCAATGCTGAACTTCCTCTGTGCGTTCATTGGCAACGGAGTGCTCGACAGGCTTGTGGATGATCCAGGTGTTATAGGCTCCACCACACGTCCATCTAAATTCAGGCTGAGATTACTACCTGTAGCCCCATGGTAATCAACAATCTTGAAATCAGTTGTTGTACCCACCCGAGACCTCGAAAGAGGCTCTTGTGGAGTGCAACACCCCTTTTTACCATCATCATCATTCGGTGATACGGACATCTCTCTTCAATACTCAATAGTGCCTTTAAAAGTAAGAAGATTCGGCTCCAATATGTCAATATAGAAAGGCTCACTTCCCTTGCTGTTGCTGTAGTGTTTCTCAATCGCACTATGAGCTCATACAGTAAGCAATCACAGCACTTGAAAAGAAAATAGTTATTTACTTTACGGTATAAACGTCGTATAAACCATGGATGCTCTTTCCTGGTTTAAGGGTGGCTCCCACTTTGAAGGGCCGCTGATTTCCCCCGGTCCCGGGCAGTCTCGGCGATAAACGACGAGGGCCCAGAAGAAATTGGTGTTCGGATGTGCGATTATGTAATATGAGCTTATATAATCATCCCCGTGGTGTCTGGGTTGATTGGCCGTCCCTCCTATCGAGGGAGAGGGGGTGAGGTGTCCGGGTGAGTTGTACTACACTTCGAATCTCCGATACATTTCAATCACTGTTTCCTCTTACAACAACCAATTGGACCAATCCTATTGCTCCAAAGTGTTGTATATTGCTATAGCAAGAGAGCATACCGAAGCACACCGTCGTTTCCCGGTTCTTTCCAATCATTTGACATACTGAAGAAGCTGAACACGTTGGTAGACATGGCTGATACTATGAGCACCGAGGAGCAGGCACAACTGTTGAAGGACGCCATTGCGACAATCAATTCCGAGACCCAGTTGATGAAGAGATGCCTTGAAACTCGAGGCAAACTGATGGATGCCCTGAAGCATGCGTCGAACTTCCTCATGGAGTTGAGAACATCACAACTGACACCCAAGCAGTACTATGAGCTGTACATTATGGTATTTGACTCGCTGAACCTGCTTGCGGGTTATCTCAGAGATACACACCCGCACCACCACTTGGCTGATCTGTACGAGCTGGTGCAGTACGCTGGCAACATTGTTCCAAGGCTCTACCTCATGATCACCGTTGGTACGGTCTATATGACCACTGAAGATGCTCCCGTTCAGGAGATCTTGAAGGACATGATTGAGATGTGCCGTGGTGTTCAGTACCCTATCAGGGGTCTCTTCTTGAGATACTATCTCCAGCAGAGAACAAAGAACTTGTTACCAGAATCCCAAGAGTCTGTCCAGTTTGTCATCCAGAACTTCATCGAGATGAATAAACTATGGGTCAGATTACAACACCAAGGTCCTTCGAAGGACAGGGCTAAAAGAACAAAGGAAAGGGAAGAGTTGAGGATTCTTGTGGGCTCAAACCTCGTTAGACTGTCCCAATTGGATAACGATAAGGATTACTACAAGACACAGATCCTGCCCATTGTCCTAGAGCAGATAATTCAGTGCAAGGATGTCTTAGCACAGGAATATCTTTTGGACGTTGTTATCCAGGTGTTCCCAGATGAGTACCATCTATATACTCTGGATGAGTACTTGAACTGTATTAAGGATCTAAATCCAAACGTCAGCCTGAGAAAGGTCTTGATCACACTCGTTAATAGACTCACTGACTTTGCCAAAAGAGAAGAGATCAACGACTTGTCAATATCTGATGGGACTGAGCAACATGAGAAGTTCAAGTTGGACTTCAATCTCTTTGACAAGTTCTGGTTCTACATCAATGAGTTGGACAAGTCTAGAGAATTGTCCATTGAAGAGATTGGCTCGCTTTTAGAGTCGGTTTCAAGACTAACATTGGCTTATTATCCAAGTTGTTACGACAACATTGATCAGCTTTTCAAATTCGCCACGGACAAGATCAAAGACGTTGATCCTTCGTCAACCGTTGAGATAGAACAGGACTTTGAACAGTTGTTATTAACACCTGTAAAGCTCTATCCAAAGTTGTTGGACGTTTTGAAGCTGTCCAATTTCATCAACCTTTTGAATTCGCAGACTTTGAAGACTCAAAAGAGTGTAAGCTTGGAGATTTTGAATAAACTACTCCTCCAGGGCATCAAAATCAAGACAGTTGACGACGTTACGGGGATTTTTAAGCTGTTGAGAGTGATAATAACAAGTGTGGATAAGGAACAGGATGCCAACGGCGAAGAATCATTGGACTATATCAACGAACAAGAAAAACTGGCCAAATTGGTCCATTTGGTTTGGAACAAGGATACGAATGTCCATGCCAACCTATTGACAAGTGTTAAGGGTGTTTTGTCTGAGGGAAACATCAGACACACTTATCCGTCTTTGTTCTTCAACACCTTGAGACTTGCACGGAGAAACAAGAACGGAGATCTGACGAATTCGTTGTTCAAGTTCATCTCCCGTATCATCAATGACCTCTACAGGGTTGGCTTGAGCGACTTGAGCTTCAAGTTCTATCTGTCATCTGCTGTTATCGCTGATCAGATCCAGGCAGAGGAATTCGCCTATGAATTCTTTGCACAATGCTTCACCATCTATGAGGAGTCTATTTCGGATTCACGCTCTCAGTACCAGGCCATCGTCTCGATCTCTGGCTCTTTACAACAGTGCAGAAACTTTTCTCGTGATAACTACGACACATTGATCACCAAGACAGCACTACACAGCTCTAAGCTGCTGAAGAAGCCTGATCAGTGTCGTGCTGTCTACTTGGCTTCACACTTATGGTGGGGTGTTGAAATCCCAGCCCTTGGGGAAGAGGAAGGTGTCACTGAATTCTACAGAGATGGCAAACGTGTGTTGGAATGTCTTCAGAGATCGTTGCGTGTCGCTGACATGTGTATGGATAGCGGTGTCTCTATCGAATTGTTTGTTGAGATATTGAACAGATGCCTCTACTACTTCATCCATGGCAATGAGAGCATCAGCATCAAGTACATCAATGGGCTGATTGAGCTGATCCAGACAAACATTGACACCCTATCGCAGGAGAACAGTGTCAATGAGAACCCAAAGAAGCACTTTGAGAGAACGTTGGAGTACATCACATCTCAGAAGGATATCGATGATAGATTCCAACTGATAACATGGTAGCTACGCCATTGATCAAGTGAATATTGTGTGGGCCGTCAATTTCCTATATACAGTAGATTATTTCCTTCAGTTTTATTTTATAAACACTTGCAAAAGAAATAAGAAAGAAGTGGAGCAAGATCACAAGAACTCCTTGGCCTTTCTTCTGTAGGCGTTACAATCTCTCAACCATTGTCTGTAGGACTTGATGTTGTCGATCTTTTCACCGTAGTAGTCCGGCACCGGGTTGCTGAAACTCTGGGAGCTTGGGTCCACTCTCTTTGCAAACACCTTCTCCAAGAACTGTTTGTTCTTCTGCTGGTAGAGGCCAATCTTTGAAGAGTTGGCCAGACGGAACACCAGCGATCCAACAAGCGGTCCAAACATATAACCCAGTCCAGTGGCACCCATAAATCCGGCAAAGAAGATCATAAATGGATCAAAACCAAAGATCATCTGCGTAGGGTCGATCTCCACGTTGGACAGGAACGACCATGACACGGTGGAGCCAATAAACGCAGTGAAAACAGACGACGCGATGTTGATACGACGTTGTTGACGACGAAGCTTGAAGAAGTCAACCCATGACAGTTGTTGCTGTCCTTGTCCTGTTGCTCCCTCCGTGGCCTTTGCCACCTGGCACAAGCGTGTGGCCGCTGAGAATGGACGCACCAGCAGTTGTCTCTTGACGGCACTTCTGATACTGAGCGAGAACATTGGCGTTGTTGATGGAATCTTGAGACCTTTGCTGTGTAATCGTTGTCGTTTAGGTGAAAGTACAAAAAAGGGCCGCGGACGGAGACTTTTGGGAGATTAGGGAGATCCGGGGAGATAATCACGTGTGAGCCTCGGATATTGCTGTTGCTACTGCTTACTGCTGAATCCTTCAGTAGTGTAACTAGTATCACAATTCAGGATCCAGTTCCCTCTGTGATGGACGTCCAGCACGTGCAATGGCATTGAATCACCTCACCTCTCACGTCCAAGTATATCGGTTTATTCCTCTTAAAGAATTGCTCTCTGTAGACAACTATTATCCCCAGTGTTTGGCTCTTCGATAGCTGCATTAAACAACATTTAACTGTACAGCGTCGGCATTATGAGAAGCATTGAGCCCTTACAGCTATGTATACGTGGTATATAGAGCTAGATGAGGGTATTAGTGAGTTCTTATGCCTTTCCACTATGTATAGATGTGTACTTCTTTGGTTATTGTGAAACTTCCTCTTTCACGTCTTAGTATACGAATCACTGGTGCCGTAAAGAACAATGACCACTGCCAAGTCAGAAACTGTGCTTAGTGCCAGGGAAAGACTACTGGAAAAAGGCTCTCGTGCATCAATTGGCTCAGAATATGGAACTGCCGAGATAATAGCACGGGATATGAGTTGGGGCTCGATAAGGACTCAAAGTTGGGAACCATGTGCCAGTGTAAGTGATGCACTGCCAACTCCGGTGCATTTGGATTTAAAAGCACTCCGCAAAGAACTGGGGAGGAGACCACCTGGTCCCAAGACAAGCGCACCTTTGATTAAACGATGTCCACAGCATCTCCAATACATGCTGAGCCCCATCACTTCATCTTCCGCGAGCTGTTCAACGAGAAGAACGATAAGAGAACTCTACCGTGAGGACATACCTAAAGCTCCTTTGCTCGTGCATACGAAACAGAGAAGGTTTAAGACGAGAAAGAGCCTCCCACTGAATCAGATTGAAAGTGTCAAGAGCATATTGTTCTACCTGGGACTACGTCGTGCGTTTTTAGTATGGAGGACGAGGATCATCATGACGTGCTCAACGTACAATTACATCAATAATAGCACGGCATGCGAAACCCAGGTGTACAACCATTTGAAGAACACTAGGAATTTCTCCAAATGGAGGGAATGTTTCCAATCACTCTCGTACCACGATATCGTCAAGGATAACAGGCCCAACGCTTGTGAGTTCTTGGAGTACGTTTCACCAAAGAATCTGAGGTACAGAGACTTTGAGAGGATTTCTAAAGAGAAAGCACAGCTCTACAGAAACAAGATGGCTGCAAGGCTATATGAATCGCATCAGAGGAAACTGGAGAGACAATTGAGGTTTAAACAAGTGTGGGAAACCACCGTGGGCTACATTGCTCATTGGTTTAAAGAGTCACTGTGGCTATAGTCCGATTTCTGATTCCAGTGTTGTGAGGCTGAAACATCAAACGCTCGCATGGACAAATCTGGACTCCTGTCCCATGTGCACCGACAAACTCTACAATAAAGTAAACAAAGCAAGAGAAGATACTTGGAAATTCTCCTTAAAACAGTGTAATTATATCATCGAGATACTATACTATAACAAATAATGAAAATAAACTCCCCAATAGAAAAAAACTTCAACCCCATGGTCATTTTAAGTGGTATCACAAATCGTTGCACAAGCAGCGTACAACTGTCCTTTTTTTAACATAATAACAATAATGCTGGTAGTGTGGTGGCCCTTGAAGTGTCCGCTTACAAGCCGAGACCCAACACAATTGGGGAAAGAAGCAACATACCCATGAAGGAACCAGTCTTCCAGTTCATGTTGAGTTGTTCAGCACCACCTTTAGAGGAAGAAGTAGTAGTGTTGGAGGAGTTGGCAGCCTTAAGCACGACATCGGCTGGGACGAGAGAAAGAGTTGGAACAGCAGAGGACATTGTTTTCAGGATAATTGGTTGATACTCAGCTTCGAACCAAAACAAGTATGAGGAAACAACGGGAATTGCGCACAGTATTTATATTCTTTCTCTCGTCCCCCTGTTTATGCACCACGGTACGTGAAAATGTCAACAACGCAACAGGAAAGCATCAGAGAAAAATTTTCCCGGCATTGTCGTGGTTTAATTATAGAAACTGATTTCCCCTTTGAGACGTGTCGAATGTGCATGGTGCCTTTCCTTGCCTGATTGCTTTTTGTTTCAGTGGGTACTACTATTCGAGGTTCATGGCCAGATGTGGCAGTGTATGTGAGTGATTGGTATTCCACTTAGTCAATGACGCATAGAGCGAGCACTTTGTCGAGGAGTCTGGTATGCCCATGCTGTGCTCCATTGTAATTGTATAACATGCTTTTGTCTGTTTCTTTGTTCATAGATCTGGCTCTCGGCAATGCCGAGCTAAAGGAGATGCGTCGAGCTTTGGACAAGTACTAATGGTGGAGTGCTCGACAACGGTGGGTTTGCTTTCCCATTCCCCAGAGTGGCCTGTTTGGAAGACACTGTTGTATAATCATAGATCTCAGCTGTATTGCCTGTTGTGGACGCTGTTCCCTCTGTCTCGGGTATGCAGATCCTTGGAGCATGAATTGGACCAATGAAATCTCTCGTAGTGAGCCTGTGCTCTTTTCTTTTCTTGCACTGTTTCTTTTTTTGGGCCCATAGGCTTCTCGTCTTTGAATTCTTACCCAACTTCAAGCTCTAAAACGTGTCATTGTGCATGATGAGGGAACCCAATTCCACAGTTGTGAAGCTTGCAACACGTATCCGTTGATTGTTGCTGGTGTTTGGTATTTTACCCCTTGATGATGGTCTAAGTTGCTACAGTTGCTACAATTGCTCCCCTAGAACCCTTTGCCCAATTATAGCTCGATCAAGGCCTTATCTATGGAATACGAAGACATGCACACAATAAGGATATACTCTAACGTAGTCAATTGCCCAACGGCTCTGTGAGAAGGTTAGGTTCCTACTGTATCTCACCAAGCTCGTGTTCCGTCGGAACCACACATGCAGCCTATATAACCTTTTTAAGTACCTTAATGGCATGGACAGATTCAGCAATTCATCTATACCAGATACGGCACCCACCTGTCCTACGTAGGCGCAGCAATCATCCATGTCATGAGGAATCGATCTGGTGATTTTAGGGGGGTGGAGGTGCAATCGACGCTCTCAATTGGCTATCGATGTTTTACAACAGGACGGGGCTTCTACATAGCCAAGGAAGTATCTGAACCTTCAATTGACTAAGAAAAGCACCCCTCCCTTCAACATTGATTGGACTTCCATCGTATCTGAGCTGTTCGACAACGCGTCCGGGATTGTACATCTTCAAGGGCTTGCGACCTCAGAGTTTCGCAGGATTGGATTTGGAAGGGGGATATGGTAAAACACGCGTTTATTCCAACGCCCTGATGTATGAAACCGGGAGTTTCGACGCGTCGCTTGATAACCGTCAATGTTGGTTCTGAGAACATGGTGTCGTCCTGAAATAACTCGTTCGTAGCATTATAAGATTGTAACAATCTCTTTTCATCAATTCGTAACAGTTGAAAGATGGTATTAATGAGTTGCGTCCTGTCACCGTATTACCGTTTGTACTGTATACCGCACGAATGATAAGCCCAAACATAACCAAAGGGAGAGTGGCCGAGTGGTTAAGGCGCCCGCTTCAGGTGCTGGTAACGTAAAGTTGCGCGAGTTCGAACCTCGTCTCTTCCATTAATTTTTTTTTATTTTTTCTTGAGTATCAGTCACGTGACTCTCATAATCCTCTACAACTCATGTCAGTCAATTCTGGTGATCTACGCTTTATAATCCATTTAATCAGATCATTATAGAAGTCGACAGGTCTTATTTCTTGTATAAGTCAGATTAATGAGTCAAACTGTTTAAAAAAGAAACGTATATAACGTATAAAAAATCAAAACAAGACAATACTGAAACCGAACTGAAGTCAAAATTAATGAACAAAATATAATCGAGTGCTTTAATACTAATCAGGCAGCGGAGACAAAGATCAAACACAGCATAGGAGTTCAATGCTTTTTTGGCTTTGGGGTGTCTGTGAATTGTACTGTGGCACCTTGTGTGGTTCCCTTGGATGGTGAGCTGTTGCTAGAAGAACCGATATGTGGCATAAGAGCATGGGTAATCGAATGAACAGTACCACCTCTATGAACACTAACAGGAGTGATTGGTGGCACATCTTCTTCTTCGTCTTCACTTTCGTGCTGAGTTGAGATATGACCCAGCGCAGCCAAACGTCTCTGTCGTTCAAAAGCAGTCTCCTCTTCTTCACCCTCTCCCTGCGTATTAGTATCAACGGTCTCTAATTCAACACTGGATTCTTCCTCTTCTTCAGATTCACTGTGGTCTTGTTCCAACTGTAATGGAGATAATGGGATCACCTTCTGGGCAGTAGGTGCTTTACTGTCATTGGTATTAGAGGACTTCAGTCCAACGACAGAGAGTGCCTTTCCTGCAACACCTCCAATAAGAGAAGTAGTTCTTGGTCTCACGTCTTTCTGTCCATGGTGGTGAACGGCATATCTTCTCAAAACTTCACCATCTTCACTCTCAATAATCAAGTGATCACCAGTCTTATAAGCAACGTATCTCTTACTTGGTCGATCTCTTGATGGAATTCTCTCTAAGGAGTGTGCTAATGACTTGACAGGTGATAGTAGAGAATTGCCAGATGATGCAGCTGATAGAGTTCTCCTCAATCTATCTCCCAAATCATCATTCACCATATGTGCAGTATCCATAATTTCTCCATGCTGATCCTCAACAATAAGTGTATTTCCCTCTTGGTATGCATTGGTTGGAGTTCTCTTGATATTGTAAGTGCCGACGTTAACTCCCTCTGTATGTTCATCTGCTTCGTGAATTGGATATTGAGGCTCTGCACTTGGAAATGGAACTGTTTCTGCATCCGTATTCGCAGGAGTAATCCCTATCTTTGTAGAGCTGTTGTACTCATTTTCTTCTTCCTCCTTCTCCGCTGGTCTTTGAGAGCCAAGGGCAAAAGCTGCTGCTTTAGCTTCTCTTTCTTTCATTATCTTTTCCCTATCCATATCCAAATCAGCAGAGTCCTCAGAGATTGTTCTCTTAAGCTTCTTCTTCCCAAATCTCTTCTTGGCTTTCTTGATACGCATACCACCAGCTGGTCTCGCAGGTATACCAGAGGTTTCAACCGTCGTGGTCTGTGATAAAGGACCAGCGTCACCAGATGACTTTGGTGCAAACGTATCTATTCTGTGCAAGGAAAATGAACGCCCATTTGCCTTCAGCTCCGGTAAACGGGACATCCAGTTGGAAGAGTTACCATTAGTGGTGGTGAAGGACATTGTTATGTTCATTGTGTTCAAATGTTTACCCAACACAATTGCAGCAACAGAGGAACCATGAACTATAATTGAAGAGATGATCAGAAACGTAACTATTGGCCAAATCACTGCAATCAGCAAATAATTCTCCGAATCTGGTGATGGCAGCTCGGACGTTGGTGTAGCTTGGCTTGTCAGTTCACCTTCAAGTGCAGCTCTCGAAACAATTGCAGCGTAAACTGCACCAACACCAATAGGACCAAAATGACCACAGAATATGGCCTCTCTCCATGTCTTTATATCTGGAATGAGAACTTTCACAGCCATAACAGCAGGGATTCTTCTGAGAGTGAGCACAACAATAGCCAAGACAATCAGTCTCCAAACGTTTAGACCCAATGACGCATCATTGAACTGAGGCCATGGAACGATGGCACCAAAGTAGACAAAATATGCCAGATTTAACAGCAAGTCAATCACGGTAGAGACATGGGATTCTTCAGTCTTGCGTGCAAACCAACCATCCCATGAGAATGCTGCACCTGCTGCGAAGGAAACCAGCAAGTCATCCACGCCCAATATTGAACCAAACCCACCACACATCACAGCGATGAATATGTAAAAGGCCAAAAACGATTCTCGATCTATGAGCTTCTTTCTCTCGCAGAATTTGATTGCATGTCTTGACAGGTAACCAATCAGCGCACCCATGAAACAACCTAAGATGCACTCGTATAGAATAGTAACGCAGATCCAATCCTTAACGATTTCACGGGCATTACCGTGATGGATAACGAGATTGACACCCAGATAGATGAAAGGAAAGGCCATACCGTCGTTGCAGCCGGATTCGGCACTCAGCAGGTTTCTCAAGTGTCCAGGGACCCTGGTTCTGGCAAATTTACCCTTACCAACCACTGCTGCCGCAAGCACGGGGTCAGTGGCTGTTATACAAGCACTCACAACTAAAGAGGACGAGAAGTTCAAGCCTGGGAACAACAGGTAGATGAAGGCGCCAATCACCAGCCAGCCATACGTCATCACAGGCACTAACAGCATAAACACAGACACCCAGTGCCTCAGCATGTACTTCTTTGGCAACTCCACAGCAACGGCAAAGATCTGTAGACAAAGCACGATACGACTAATCTCCAGTGTGATCTGATCAGTATTGCCCCACTCTGTCGGCGTGAACCAGTTCAAGCAGTAAGGCCCAAATATCAACCCTGCAATGGCAGCAACAGTAGCCTCACCAATATAGAGCTTCTCCTTCACAAACAGAGAAACAAGAGAAAACACCGCAGAGAACGTCCCAATGATTGCGTACGCAACGTGAGCATGGTCAACGTCCAAGTGCTCCCACACCGCCATGCTTACTTCGCCGTACTCTCTCCAGTAGGCTCTGTTGTCTTCAAAGTTCTTCCGCTAGAAGCCCTCCCACTGGCTGTTTTTTTCTCTTCCCTCTGAGGTTCTCCTTGCGAGCTGGGCTGGGCTTGGCTGCGCTGGGCTGGGGCTGGGCTGAGCTGGGCTGAGCTGGGCTGGGGCTGGGCTGAGCTGGGCTGGGGCTTAGGCTGGGCGGAGAAAATTAGGCAGCGATGAACAGCTATTTGTTGGTGAGAAAGTAGAACAAAAGGAACACTCTAACTCTATCGTTCCCTTGTAGTTCGTCGTCTTCTTCCAATGCAGCCAATTAGTTTACACTGACGTCCACCTGTCGTCGCAATTGGTATAAGCAGCTTGGAATATCAACAGAGGAAGTGAGGGATGAAAGGACTTGGGGGGCTGTCGGTTGGTGCTGTGCTGCTGCTGTTGGCTGAGTTTCCAGCGTAGTTGTGAACAAAAAAAAAAAAACACGTTGGAGGACCCTGAAATGAAATTGCTATCAGTGTCACGTGACTTGAGGGTATACGGGCTCATCTGCGGTGCTCACGTTGTTTTATAGCAACGTTATGGAAGATCTGGCTGCAATCTCCTAGGTTTCAGGTCGTTTCAGATACCTCCTGAGCTGAAGATTAGGTTTGTCTAGTTGGACATTCCAATAACGCCTTCCTAAGAAAGGCGTTGAGAGGAGCTGGTCCTTGGCAAGGAGGGTACTATGCAGTGCGAAGACGTTGATTATGTACAGACGGCTAAGAGCTAGGAGACGAAACTATACGTAGCCAGCGAAGAAACGGCCAAAGAGCCGTCTCCTATCTTCCTGTGGGTGCACGTCGATGGGTTGAGCGAACTTTGGTTTCGTGTCTTCTGAAGTCTCGACACTACTGTCGAGTGCCCTGTCCGGGATGTGATGGATTAACGAGCTGAGCCCTGTCTTTGAGGACGACGAGGCTCTTCTCTCCGTCATCACTGGTTCCACCGCAGACGAGCAGCCAGTAGCTGATGAGCTCATCTTTTCCAAGATCTCCTTCCCTTCTGTAACACACTGTAAAGGCACGAAGCAGGATATGGATCCGATATCGTTCCTTACCATGTTGGAGTCCTCGATCAACAACTCCCGTTCTTTGTCTTTCAGCTCCGGATGGTAGAGTAGGCATGCGTTGAGGATGATGGCCCCGTGGATTAAATGTGGCAGCTGTGGTATGAACATTGGGTCCTGGCTCGCTATGAACCTCTGCTTCAACTCTTTGTAGGCGTTAAACATGTCTCTGCAAACGATATAACATATCTCCATACACACTGGGATTCTGTGTTCCAGGAAGCTCTCGAATAACCTATACCTGTGGATATTGACCTTTAAGTGGAATATGTTTTTATGGAATCGGCTTGCTTTGTTCTTTTGGATGCTCTGCTTGGAATTCACATTGTTATAATGATCCACGAGCTTTTGATCAATGTCTAACAGCAATTTCAACTTCTTAGATGATTGTTCCATAGGATCAATCTCAAATACTCGATTGATGATCTTGCACTGCTCTGAGTAGTATACGGGAAAGTCTGTCTCCAATTTCACTGCATAGCTACCCTTGTCGAATGTATGAATAGGTATTTGTGATCTATAACTCCTTATACGAGGATCTTTACCTGTCAGCAGTGACCTCTCAGTATCAATAAAACATAGTTCCCACCATAGAAGCCTTCCTTGTCCACCAAATTTGGAAACTCTTGGATCATCCAGCCCTATAGACATGCTTTCAAATGCTCTCTGTGATATCAACTGGTCCATGGATAAGTAATCGCACGTTAAATGACAAAACAGGGTCTGTAGAGAAAGGACTTGGTGTCTAACCATATCGTCAACGTGGTAAAAGGAAAGCACCTGTCTTGAAGTGCTAAACCATTGTGTACAACTAGAATGGACACTTTCTGGTGTTCTCCATTGTCTCAGTAGTACCTCACTGCTAAGTATCATATCCTCTGGTGAAGTCCGCAGTGCAATCGCAATGACTATTAGTACGAGTGCCATAAAGTTCAAGTCCAGAGGAGCCATCCTGTGGCCTATGATGTTGGACCACATAGTCTCATACTCCCTATCAAAGGTTATTGGATCAATGACGTTGTCCAAGGAAGCCATCGTCATAAAGTACTGTCTCTTTAGCACAGAACATACACCTCTAACTGGCAAGCAGTCTATGGTGAACCTCTTCAACGAAAATAGCTTATCTTGTTCTAATCTATATCCAAGGTCCATAACCGTCGGAAGACCTAAGCCTGATGTACGATTGGTCAACAGATTTGTCAACGCATCGTTTTGGGACTTGAGGAATTGACTTGTTCTGCTCAGTTCTTCAATGGCCCTGTCTCTCTCGAACAACGCCTGTTGCCAACTCTCCATCATCCGAACAGATGGTGGTGCACTTTTTCCCCCACCTTCTGGTCTATTAAAGTCCATATCAGGAGCAGCTTGGTACTCAAACTGGCGAATCGGTTATGTAGTGATATCTCTGCACTTCATAGAAAATGGCCAGAGGCCCATAACGGAAATCTACCGGTATATAAGATGTACTGAGGTATAGGGAATCGGAGTGCGTACATCTGTGCAATATGGGAGCAGCGTATTTAGTATTGTACGCACACAATCACGTAGGGCCAGGTAGGCACTGTGTAACTCTTGAACTATGCTATAGCATGTATGGTGTCTATGCATACATGTATAACGTATGTGTGTGTACATATTTGTGCTTTTCGTCCTCGAATCACACACCAGTCGTAATTCTTCAGATTGGGTTATATGCACAGACCGTACCACAGTTTGTTGCCTGGTGAATTTCATGATAACAGCCACTCAGCGATGTATCGTTCTCAACTTCAACTCGCACGTTTTGTATGTACTTTGTTCATTTGTACAACTCTGTACTGCCATTACGAGTCATCACCTATACATAGCCACTATTTGGCCTCAATAGTTGGCAAGGATGTCCTCCGCAACGCCTAAGCTGAAGGTTATTAATATTATCAGAGAGGAGGCAGCATAGTACCTGCAATGGACATTAGACTTCGCCTCACAAGCAAAGGACACATCAATGCATTGGTTCTTTTGGAATACCTCGGATCATTTGGGACCAAAGGCTCTTGTAGTTCTGAATCTCCAGGTGTCGAAGCCATGAACCCAATTACTGAGGGAACAAAACAACCCTGTCCATCCAGTGATCGAGTCCTGTTTAAGCTTTCGGAAATCTGTAAAACTATACATCAAAGCGTTCCAAGGCTCGTGCGTTTGTAATGGGACACCAGAGGACCAAGCTAGTACCATTCAGCAGTGCTGGTCCGAACAGAAACCCCTTATTTACTACTTATTTTCCGCTGCCTACTGCTCATTGCTTACTGCTTTACTGCTCAATGCTCAGGCATGTCAAGTATGGTTGGCCTCACGAGATTGATAAATGCCATGGTCTAGAATCACCCCTTTATATGTCTTTTACTATGTCAACAATGTAACAGCTGTATACACACCTCTTCGGCGTTCAAATGCAGGCTAAGTGTATAGCCATCACGCCTCATTCTCGAATTGAGTCATGACAACACTTGTGTAGATGGTAACCCTAAAAAATCGTATATAGAGCTATGTAAAACCACAGAGATCTGCAGGTACCATTATCTCAGCAATGAGAATCCATGGGGGTCAAGGGATGAAGAAAAAACAGCCAGTTCAGGGTAAATAGTCTCCTCCTGGCACATCATGATATGCCAGTTCAAGTGTAGATACATTAGCCTCGTCGTACGCTGATTGTACCCACAAGGGACGAAACTAGAGCCAGTGGGCTTGCAATTTGGAAACCAACCCAACCCAGCTAGCTATAAACAGAGGAAGTCAAGGCAGAATGGCAATGGAACTATAGCAAAGGCGTTTAATGGGCCCAGCTCTTAGTTGAAATGAGCGGATCGACGTATGCAATTATGCATAAAACCTATCGCCTCGGTCTCACATTCTGTTTCGGTAACCGTGGTTTCAGGACAAAATTGCTTTGCAGGCCGCGGGAGAGGCTTTGGATGACTAATAGCTTATGTAATCGTGTTCTTGTTTTCCTTTCACTGTGTTTCCTGGGCAACGCAAGCAATGCTTCCATCATCAACTCTTCACATCTTGGTGAGGTTGTTGTTATTCCTATGGCCGAGTGGGCTCTCTCTGTGGTGTACTGGGAACCAGGTGTCAAGGTGAAGAATGTACGGTGTCAGCAAGCGTAAAGGGCCTGGGACTGTGTATGCGAGTTCTGGTGCCTCTAACATATCGTACGATAACGTCTACCGTGGTGATGATGAGGATATCCATACGAGCCATGGGTTCAGAAGCACCAGGCAGAAGAGGTTTAAATTCGTCAGCCCCAGCGTAGACGACATCAGGGATGATGAGGATGTGGCAAGTGGATCTGAGGGCCTCAGAGTGGTCAGTGGTGTGCGTGATTTAATAGGTGATATCGATATACAATGGCACGTAGTGTTGGGAGATGAGCAAAGCCACTCTGTAAATCCTCCATGCACCAAGCCATCAGAAAAGACGAGGAGGAAACGAAGAATTGTGCACTACGATGAGCCTCCAGAAGGAGAGCTGGAGCCACTAACGTTCAAACTGAAGAAGATGGACTCAAAGGTGAAGTTCCAAAGGGGATTGGTGAATACGAAGCCGGCACAACCTCCCACTGATGCCACATTCAAGGGGTTTTGCAAATCCATTCAACGTGCCACAACGCCGTTCATAGCAGAGGTCAACTATATAGGGAAGTACAGCTTGTCCAAGGGTCCTTTGCCGTTGTCTAAGCATGCAGCATCGACAATATTACAGGGGAGATTCACTACATCAAACACTACAGGTGAAACGCTACACTCACCACAACAGCACAATGAGAGAACAGTGGTGAAAGTTGAAATCAATCCACTACTATTGAAAAGGCTCGGTATATAGCCTCTCTCTAAAGTTTCTCTTCAATGAGCCCAAGTCGTAGATGTTGACGATGTCCTTTATGTCTGTAACTTGTTTCAGTGAGTTTCTATTGACGTGCCGTATGGTGTTATCCCTCTGGTTGACACTGACGAACACATCCTCATCAGCCAAGTATTCAAAGTAGACGCCATTCAATTCATAAAGCGTCTTCGAATGTACCAGATCGTGGATCAATTCCCATTTCGTCAACTCTGTCGTTGTCATTCCATCCCTGACGAGCACGTACTGGACATGTGTAAACCAAATCACCAGAACGTCAAAACTCGCCAATAAGAAGCATAGAGCCATTTCCACCTTACAGCTCTCCAGGCGATGCCAGCCCTGCCATTCGTCGTAGAGCACAGCTCCGACGATGACGAGTCCATATGTCATATCGATAACGTTCATTAGCAGAAACGAATAGAACCACTGGTAATTGCCCAATCCAACACAGTTATTCAACCAAATACAATGGTGGTCGTACAGCACCATACAGTGGCCACAGTATCGACAGTGCCGTGACCTTGGAGGTCTCTGGAAGCCGCAGGTGGCACACTCGCTGGGGAAGAAGATCAGATTGTCATGTCTCCACACATGTGGATGGAGAGGTGAATGATATATAGGTGGCTTGAACACCGCAAGGATAAAAGTCACTGCCAATGCTGCCAGCAGTGCTGTGTACAGCACTGGGTGTGGATCTGGGACCTTGTGGTATGTATGCCTGAAGAAGATAGTAACCAACACTATGAACAGCGTGGCGTACAACACAGGCACACACCACGACAGAGCAAATCTAGCTGCTGATATAAGGTGGCCACCACACAACCTCTCTTCTGCTCGGAGGAACTGGAGTTTCCAATGGTTATAGTGTCTCACAAGAGTAGTTCTATGGTTACTTTCAACATGCGAGAGTGTGTTAGTACCCTACTGGCACGTCTACTTACAGCGAACTCACCTGGCCAAGAGCATCAGCCCAATTATGATGAACGGGCTCAGAAGAACCGTCAAAAGCAGCAGTTTCATCCTCAGCCACTGTGATATTCTCACTATTAACACAGAGTAGTGGCCTTGAAGAGCTTTTATCCTCGTCAAGACCGGCGATGTGATAAAGGGAAACACAACCTCATCGCAGCGAGCCTCGAGCGCAGGGAAAAAAGTGAAAAATTTCACGCTTTCCTAAGAGCACAATTAATACCCGTGAGAAGCACTCATATTGTATGAGATTTAGGCCCCTGAGGACGTTTCTTCGGTGGTTCAAGATGTCAGAGCAAGAAGCGTTGGGCGAGTTTACGCCTGTCACTGAGGGAAGTGCCACCATTCTCTTCCCTAAGAAAGAGGATGTGTTCTACAACCCGGTTCAGCAGTTCAACAGAGACTTGTCAGTGCTGTCCATACGTGCCTGGTCTGAGCTGTACGGCGATGCTCTGGTGAGCAAGAAGCGCAAGCGTGACACAGACCAGGTTGACAGTGATAAGCCTTACATTTCGATCCTGGAGGCGCTGAGTGCCTCTGGCTTGCGTGCCATTCGTTACGCTAAGGAGATCCCCAAGGTGTCGTCAGTAGTAGCCAACGACTTTTCTGAAGATGCTGTCAGATCCATAGTGAGAAACGTTGAGCATAACAACGTCTCACAGGTTGTTAAGCCAAACAGAGGAGATGCCAATGCCGTGATGCACGAGTCAAACTTCAAGGGGAAACACTTCAACGTCATCGACTTGGACCCTTATGGAACAGCATCTCCATTCATAGACGCTGCGATCCAAAGTATAGGCGAAGATGGACTGTTGCTTGTCACTTGCACAGATTTGGCTGTGCTGGCCGGTGGTGGGTATCCAGAGAAATGCTTTGCTCTCTATGGAGGCTCTGCGATGATCAACCACGATGCTAGCCATGAAGCTGCGTTGAGATTGGTGCTGGGAATGATTGGCAACACTGCTGCAAAGTATAGAAAGTCAATTGAGCCAATGTTGTGCCTCTCCATTGATTTCTACGTTAGACTGTTCATCAAAGTGAAGACGAGCCCAATCGAAGTCAAGGAATTGGCCTCCAAGACCGGCTCTGTCTACATGTGTTCAGGTTGTGGTGCTACAGAGGTTCAACCTTTGGGGAAAGTCACTGTGAGGGACAACGGCTCAAAGAAGTTTGGACTAGCACAGGGATCGTGTGTTGGCTCGCACTGCTCCTATTGTGGGTATGTTAACCATGTTGCCGGTCCAATGTACATTGGCAAGCTGCAAAATGACAACTTCATTTCAAAGGTTTTGGAATTGAACGAGAAGGTTGATGATGAGACCTACAAGACAAGAAAGAGAATTGAAGGTATGCTGACGTTGGCCAAGAATGAAATTGAGGCTCCGTTCTACTTCAAGCCGGAAAAGGTGTCTTCTATTCTAAAGTTCCAAGTTCCTCCATTGAAATCAGTGATTGCAGCATTGGGAAACTTGGGTTATGATGCATCACTAACACACGCCATTCCAAGTGCTGTGAAGACGAATGCTCCTTGGAGAGTGATATGGGCTATCTTCAAGTCATATGTTGTTGAAAAGGAACAAAAGGACATTTCAAAGATGAACGAGAACACCGCTGGTTATAAGATCATGACCAATGCCGATGTTAAAGTAGACGACGATGCTAAGGTCTCCTTTGAATTGAATGAGCTGAGTAAGAAGGTTGAGAAGCTGAGAAAGTTGAAGATCATTAGATATCAAGAGAATCCTACAAAGAACTGGGGTCCAAAGGGTAAGCCGAAATAAGCATGTTTGCTCTCTTTGTTGTATAGTTATTTAACGGTATAAAACTCACGTGGTACCATCGACTGGCCATTGTGCCTTCTCTCCATAGTTCCAATGGATAGCCTTGGTAACGGTGTACTCTTTCAAGCCTTCAATTCCCAACTCTCTACCAAAGCCGGATTGCTTCATGCCACCAAATGGAACAGCTGGACTCAGAGAAACATACTGGTTACACCAAACGGTGCCAGCGTTGAGGGCATGGACCATACGCATACATTGACTGGCATCTTTGGAGAAGACACCAGCACCAAGTCCGTAAGCCGTGTTGTTAGCCTGTTCGACAGCCTCTTCCTCAGTGGTGAAGGTTTGCACCGTGAGAACAGGACCGAAGATTTCCTCATCAACAATCTTCATTCCTGGCTTACACTCAACAAAAATGGTTGGTGGACAGTAGAAGCCATTCTTAAACTTCTCTGGTAAATGAGCAATTCTCTCTGGCCCACCAGTCAACACCGTAGCACCTTGCTCGATACCAGATTGAATGTAGGACAGAACCTTCTGCTGCTGAAGCTTTGAAACTTGTGGTCCCTGGTACGTCTTGATATCAAACGGATCACCAATGACATAGCTCTCAAAGTTCTCCTTTAGCTTAGCAAGGAACTTGTCCTTGATGGTATCCTGGACAAGCAGACGAGAAGCTGCACAACAATCTTGTCCGTGGTTGAACAAAATGGCAGTGGCAACCCAGTTGGCAGTGTCTTCAATGTCAATGTTGTCAAACACAACAACTGGAGACTTACCACCGAGTTCCAAGGAGACTCTCTTCAGATTGCTCGTGGCAGCTGATTCCATGATACGACGACCAGTGATTGTAGAGCCAGTAAATGCGATCTTGTCGATGTCCATGTGGCTCGAGATTGCTTGACCAGCAACAGCACCAAGGCCATTGACGATGTTGATAACACCTGGTGGGAAGCCAGCCTTTGCAGAAAGCTCAGCAACGAGCAAAGCACTCAGTGGAGTCTGTTCAGCAGGCTTCATGACGATGGTGTTACCGGCAGCCAACGCAGCACCAACCTTCCAGGAGAACATTTGAATTGGGTAGTTCCATGGAATGATTTGACCACACACACCAATTGGCTCTGCTCTGGTGAAGGCCATCTTAACACCTTCTACTTGCTCGATGGTCTTCCCTTCAATCTTGTCGGCAAGTCCTGCGTAATAACGAAGACATGCAACACTGTCTGGAATATCGATGTCCTTTGCCATCCACACTGGCTTGCCATTGTCCAAGCTCTCCAACTCGGCAAGCGTGTCGATATTTTCTTCAATCAAATCTGCCCATTTGTTGATACAACTAGCTCTGAGAGCCGGTGTACTCTTCTTACCCCATGTATGCTCAAATGCAGCTCTTGCAGCCTTAACGGCGTCATCGACATCCTCAGCAGTGGCAGCACTGATGGTGGCCAAGTCATTGCCTGTAGACGGATCTGGCGTAGTCAATGTGTTGTCATTTCTTGCTGGCCTGAACTCATTGTTAATGAACAAGCCAGTATTGAAGGTGATTTCCCTTCCGGAAGGAGATGTGATGGTAATTGTAGACATGGTTCTATGGTTACGATCTCATTTTGGCCTACAGGCTCGAAGTATGAAGTACACTGGACTATTTATACCAAAAAGGATAAGAAGTTGCTCATTAGTCAACAGGATTCAACCACATTCCGGTAAAAGCCTCTTGAAATGTATAAACGGGAAGTTGACTCCCCCTCCTGTAAAGTGACCAAGAGTTTCAGTTCTCTCTCTCTCCTCCCCACACAGATTATCACGCCCAGTTCTATCATGAAGTCCCAAGGTATACAATGGCACGAATTGACTCGGAATATGGGTGTTCCTGGGAAACGTTTACATGACCATTGAACTGTTTGACTCAGGAATCATCTCTACACTTTCCAATATCTATGATGCAGATGTGCAGCTTAAAGGAAAAAGAAATGTACATATACTGGACAATCAGCAACACTAAGGCCTTCTAGGCGATCACCTTTGGCTACAACTGGAGTAGAAGATACAGTTTCCCCTTTTGTAGACAGCGACCAGCACTGTTAACCCGCATTCTTGTACCCTGCGCCCAGTCACTGTAGTTCCTCTACGGGTGTAAAGCGCACATGTAGATACCTTCTCCAGGAAACACAACTTGTTGAATGGAAAGAGAGAGCTTGTCGGTTGCTGATACTCTTAACGGAAGACTCCTCTTCTTCCTATACGTTTGTGGGTGATTTATACGTATATAATGGTAGTCCTTTCTCTCATATTCTTTCTTCAGAAGTAGTTCCTATAAGGAGCTTATATGTATAAGCACAAGAAATACAAAATGACCCCAAAAAAGATTGAAGGTATTCTCGCAGCAGTCCCAACACCACTGACTGCTGATGGGAAGGCTCTGGATCTTGAAAACATCAAGAGACAGACAGAAAGATATATCAAGGGTGGTATCCATGGTATCGTCACCACCGGTACCACAGGCGAGTTCCCAGCCCTCAGCGTTGAAGAGCAAAAGCAAGTCATCAAGGCATACATCAATGCTGCTGAAGGAAGAATCACCGTTGTGTCTGGTATCGGTTGCACTTCCACTGAGATGGCCATTGAAATGGTCCAATTCGCTGAGAATTCTGGGGCTGATGCTGTCATGGTTGTTCCACCATACTACGACCCATTGGCATGGAAAGAGTTGTACCAGTTCTACGAAGATGTGTGTGGTTCCATCAACATCCCATTGATATACTACAACTTGCCACATGCCACCGGTGTAAAGCTTGACGCTAACCAATTGAGAGAGCTGGGAAAGATCAAGAACTTTGACTATTTGAAGGACACCTCTGGTAACGCTAAGGAGCTTACTGATCTCTTGACCAACCCTGTTGAAGGTCTCACTGCGTTCTGTGGCTGGGATACACTTACCTTCTTTGCTTTGGCCGGTGGTGCTGAGGCCATTGTGTGGGGTGTCGCCTCCATTGTTCCAAGAGAATGTGTTGATTTGTGGGATGCCTTCCAAGCAAAGGACCTCGATAAGGCAAGACGGTTGTGGAAGTTCCTCTGGGAAGTCAGTGACTTCATGGAGCAAGGAAGCTACCCTGTGGGTATTAAGACTGGTCATGAGATCATTTGTGAGTCTGTTGGACCAGTGAGAAAGCCAAACTTGCCATTGAGCGAGGAGGCATACGCAAAGATTACGACAATCTTAGCTAAGAGAGTCTACAAGTGAGGATTGTGTGGTGTGTGGATTTAATATGGCTCATCTCAGCTTCTTCAAGTATCAATTGTAGAAATGCGGTAAGCTCAGTGGCCTTAATCTATGTTAAACTCGAGAATGGCTCTCCTCTGAATGTAGAGCCCTCATGATACGCCCATACCGACTTTTACATACTAAAACTGGGGCTCCATTTTTCAGTAAACCTGTTATTCACCTGTAAAAGAAGAGAAATGTAAACGTGGATAGATGCACCCCAGTTTCCAATTGTTTCACGTCACGGCCTGGGCCAGTCATCGCTTAAGATGGCTGTTCTTGGAAATGGTTCCAATTGCGGAGCAGAGCAACATTTTCAGCTGAAGAAGGATATTCCTACTGCCTAGAGCCGAGTCTCTCTTGAATACTCCAGTCAGCAATGCCGTCTTCGCCGGGAAAAGATCATGGTGGCCGTATAATGAAAGGGGAAGAAGAAAGGAAATTGGGACAGATACAATTATACACTTGTCTTTACTTTCTTCATCATATAAGAAGAGTTTCGATATGTCACTGAAAATAACAGCGTATGCGAATAGACCATTGGCAGGTCTACTTCTCGTTCCACCATGTGTATCAGATCTCTGCTTCCAGCCAGCTGCTACGAGTTCTCAGGAGCTAAAAAGAAGATACGAAGCGCACATCATGATCTACATCACGCACCACTCCTATAAAGTAACAACGCTTGGTCTCTCGACAATTTCCTCGTATTGCCAGCTCTGAGCCAAGCTCATCCGGCTGGCTGTTCTCCACCACTTGTGGTATCTCTGCTCCTTATTTCACCTAAGCTGTGAAACATACAGGACCATCAAGACCTCCGGGTTTCGTAACCTCAAGACGTTGTCCTTAGCCAATGAAAATGTGTTTCTTATCAATTCAGTCTCCTCTACAGTCAGAGCCATATCACAGAGCATCACCTTCCGAAAATGGTTGGATTGACGGTTGAGCCTGGTGCTTTTTGGCGGTTCTTTCCGACTCGTCGCTTGGTTCATCAAACTGACAGTGCTTATGCACAAATCGCGCTGTACATGATGTTGCAGGATTGTTACCATGTTTTCGTTCCTCTTTCAAAAGACATGAGCAAAGCGTGATTCAGCTCTCTATTAGTCACTGTGTATAGTATTGAGGTGTTGCCAGTTCAGTAGACATCTCTATTTCGCAGCAGCCCCGCTCAAGTTGTAAGCAAACGGCAACTTAGCGTAACGCAGCACCGTAGACAGAGTCAACAAACGAGTCAGTATCTCCACTACTTGTATTTTGCGGTAAAAAGAGTGTGGTGTGTGATTCTCGACAATTTACACAGTCAGCTGCTGGTGACCAGCTCGAGTACTTCCAGGGTAGATAAATGTTACTATTTCAGTCTTGCTCCTTCTTCTGATGCTCCTTTCAAATGCGCATCTTCAAGTGAGTGTCTTCGACCATAGCCATGTTGAGAAGCATATTACACAGATCTTTCAAGAGAAACGCAAAGCTCTACCGGAATAGTTCTACAAGCACCAAGGGCACTGATACAATGTTCATTAGTTGGAAGCGCAATTCCTATGTGAAGGTTGCAGTTTCTTCAACACTTGTCCTTGCATTTGCCGGAGCTTCGTTTACGGTCATCTCTAACAATAGCAACAATATTGAGAACGATGCTGGATTCGCCAGCAGAAGAACTTTCCCAGTGGTTGAGGTTCAGAAGCACAATCACTCTGAAGATTGTTGGATTGCAATCAACGGTGAAGTCTTCAACGTCACAAACTTCCTTCAAGTCCACCCAGGTGGTAAGGAAAGACTCATGAAGTACGCAGGCAAAGATGCCTCCATCGAGTTTGGCCAGATGCACTCGAAGGAGGTTTTGGCCAAGATGAGTAATTTCATCGAGCACATGGGCTCATTGGAAGGTGAATTTGAAGAGGAATTAACACCAGAGATGTTACAAATTAGGGAGAATCTCCAGAACAAACCTCCGATCCAGGCAATCTTTAACCTGACCGATTTCGAATTTGTTGCAAAACACATCTTACCACAAACAACCTACATCTACTTTTGCACAGGTGCTTCAGATGAGTTCTCCATGAGACATAACCACTATGCCTATGGTAGAGTGTTCTTTAGACCAAAAGTTTTGCAGGAGATTGGCCCGCCAGACTTATCTACGACTTTCTTAGGCGATGAAGTTCAAATGCCACTATACATCACTGCCTTTGCTGGGTCTAAATTTGCCCATCCATTAGGAGAGAGGATTCTTCAAAGAGCTGCGTACGATAATGGCATCATGCAGATGATTCCAAAGCTTTTGTCATATCCACTTGAGGAGTTCTTTGAAGAAGTTCCAGATGATCAGAAGCACTGGTTTCAATTGCATTTTGATTCTCAGGAGGAGCTGGACAACGTTGAGAAGACGATTAAGCGTATGGAGGCTACAGGTAACATGAGAGGCTTGTTTGTTAACGTTGATCTCGCAGACTTGGGTAACAGAGAAAGAGACTCGAAGAAGAGAGTTGAAGATCAAGATGCTGCAGATCAGTTATCAGTGATAGCCAATAACGGGAGGGTCAAATACCCAAGAAGATTCTGCTGGAAAGAGATCAAGAGAATCCAAGAGGCCACAGATGTTCCAATCTGTCTTAAAGGTGTTCAAAGGGGCGAAGACGTTGTTCTCGCAGCCCAAAATGGTATCAAAGCATGTATCCTTTCTAACCATGGAGGTAGACAACTAGATTTCTCTCGTCCGCCATTAGAGGTTCTTGTCGAGGCCAGAAGAATGTTAAAGGAAAAGGGTTTGGAGAACAACATTGAGCTCTACGTTGACGGTGGTCTCCGCAGAGGATCTGATATCGTCAAAGCTTTATGTCTTGGTGCAAAAGGTGTTGGAATGGGACGTCCTTTCTTATACGCTATGTCTGGCTATGGCGAGGAAGGTGTTAACAAGTTGTTTGAAATCTTGAGAGTTGAGATGGTTAACAATATGAAGTTACTGGGGGTTGACAAGATCTCTGACCTCAACGAAGACTTGGTTGATGCATCCAACTTGTCAATACGCCACTACGGTGTTACTGATGGTCTCTACGACCAGGCATATGAGAGATTGCTTTACCCAGAGTATAAGAATCTGAAACAACTGGGAAAATAATGTTTATGCAATAAAGTAAATTTATCTTGTTATTACATATTACAAAGCGTATGCAAAAAAGAAGAATTGATTACTCGTTGAGCAAAGAAGACAGTGAAATGGACGGCACTTTCCACTGCCCAACAATCCAATCACATAAACAAATCCTTGAGTTCACAATATAACTAGCATTCTTGACGTGACCAATTGGCAGTTTCCAGAGTCATTCTCAACATTTTGATGCTGTAGAGTAAAAAGTTACCCAGAGTCAACAACCAACAACCCACCTGTCTGCTGGAAACCAGCGAGTCTCCACAAATCCCGAGTCATAAAGTGACAAATGCCTCTTAAAATGTGTGATAGTACTTCGCTAAGCCCTTCACCTTCCTCCTGTAATGAAAGCAGAGCAGTTCAACATGAGCTGTATCAATCCTGCTTCATTATGCATCGTCGGGACAGGGACCCCGTGAAGACCAAGAGGTTTCACATTTCATCGCCACTTGCTATAACCAATCTCAGCTGATAGTACACTTAGCCCATAACATACATCCAAGCCTCTCTTTACAGTGTTTTCTGGTGGATTATTACAGCTAAAGATTGTGGAAATGCGGGAAATCAGTCGGCTACACCAATACAATTACGTAGAAGCAATGACTGAAATTAGAAAGAAAAGAAAAGAAAGAACAACAGGCACAGCATGCTATATATCTTTATATGTATTACGTAGTTTGTAGATAGACAATCTACCAAACTATTACGTGTGCTGAGAGATTTCCCCCTCCACTTTATGCAGATACGGATTTGGTTCATGTTGAAGTTTTATCCATTGATGTGTACTTAAACGTACCATATTGTCATTAATGTGAAGTATTCTCAATCTAAGTAGCACAGTACTCAAAGCCTGTGGATATATTCATACACATAATTTGATTTAATAAACTAATGTCTTCATCCTCTGGTCTTTTACAAACGGATAGCAAAGTCAAGCCTGATTCGATCCCTCTCAAGGAATACAATAACGTCGAGAGTGGATCGCTCCATGAGAAAGATATCAATGATATTGAAGAAGATAATGTCTTTGTCCAAACTGAAGAAGGACCGGATTATAGAGGTGTTACCCAGATCGGTGCAGCCGTCTTAATTGCCAAATCTCAGCTTGGTCTGGGTGTGCTTGGTATACCTTCAACACTTGAAGTGCTAGGCTTTGTCCCTGGATTGATCAGCTTGATTGGGCTATGTGTACTAGTTACCTGGACCGGGCTGGTCATTGGTGATTTCCGAATTGCCCATCCGAAAGTCTACAGCATTGACGATGCCACTGATATACTGTTTGGAAAAGCTGCCCGTGAAACCATTGCAGGTGCCTATTGGCTCTTTTATACTCTCAGTTATGGTGCTGCAGTGTTGACCGTCTCTATTGCTTTCAACACTTTTAGCCATCATGGTATGTGTACAGTCGGTTATGTTGGCATTGCAGCATCAATCACCTTTGTTCTTGCACTGTTCACAAGAACCATGAAAGTCCTTTCATGGTGTGGTTACATAGCTGTTCTATCTATCTTCATGGCTATTTGGGTTGTTGCCATTGCATGCCTTACACAATCGAGACCTGCTGCTGCTGATGATGTTGAAGGACCCGTCAGTGTCATCGTCCAAGTTGCAGGCACGGGCTCGTCGTATCAGAGCATAGCCTCTTCGGTAGCTACTCAATTGTTCTCGTTATGTGGTGCGGCATCTTTCTTCACAATCCATGCAGAGATGAAGGACCAACACCAATATGCGAAATCGCTGCTGATGGGCCAATCTTTCATCGTGTTCAACTACATCGCAATTGGATCTATCATGTATGCTAAAGTCGGCCAGTACATTGCCTCACCAGCTTTGGGCTCTGCGGGAGAGCTTTTCCAACTCATTGGCTATGCCATTGCACTTCCAGGCTTGCTGTTCTCATGTTTCTTCCAAGCCCACCTTCCAGCCAAATACGCACTGGTTCGTGTTCTCAGAGGCTCTCACCACATGCAGAGGAACACCATGGTACATTGGCTTACCTGGACTGGAATGATGTTCATTGTGATCATCGTTGGATTCGTCATTGCCTGTGCAATTCCATTTTTCAATGATCTTCTATCGCTTATTGGGGCCCTGTTTGGTAGCGCATTTGCACTGATTATTCCTGGTCTCATGTGTCTTTACGATATGAACTACAGACACACTGGAACTGCACCACAGGACCTGAGCTGGATCTTCAGATCGAATGGTTGCTGGGGCAGTACCGGACGTAACAAGATAGATGTCTGCTTCAGCTTCCTTTGCGTGGCTATTGGTGTCTACATCTTATGCACTGGAGTGTATGGCTCTGTCGCCAACATCGCAGATGCCTACGCTAGTGGGGCCATTTCTGGTGCGTTCTCCTGTGATGATAACTCTTGATGATGTTTATTAACTGCAGCAAGATTCCATATTCTTCATTTCCGTCGATGAATCCTTATATTATTCCTTCTTAAACCGTTTAACATTACCAGCAGTGTAGTGTATGCTGCAATCTTAGCAGAGATCAAGTTTAGTCAATGCCCTGGTATCCAAACCTGCTCAGCTAGTAGGCTTAGAGAAGTGGCAGTGAGTGAGTAGAAGCTACAATCTCGAGAGTATAGGCCATTTGTCACCAGTGCCATAAAGATATTTGCCCACTCAATTGAAATGGGGCTAAGGTAAATCAGGTAAGAGTCACGTGCCTATCACGTGAGACTGTATATATTTGTGCCATAATACACCTGGACACCAGAAACACCAATGTAGTCTATCATCCTGCCATTTTGGCTCAAATAATGGTATAAATTATGTCCTTATTGGCTAATTTTGTTGTTTTCGTGGATTAATAGTGTTTAATAGCTTATACCATCCCTTCTTGTACATTATTACATAAAGGAATTCCATTTTTATATACCATTTTTTAGAAATAAGACATCGATTTTACACTACAAAATTCAAATAGTTGATGGAGAGACAATATAATACTGCTATTACCATTAATACCTGCGATTGTATATTTAGACAGTTAGCTTGTAGATGTCTCATGCCTTATTATAAATAACGAAGATCATCACCCTAATCAAACCTCATGAAATGTGGCACAGTGAAACTCTTTGAGGCACGCACCGATCACACCACGAATTGTAATGGCTCAACAGCATCCAAATTCTGTACAAAATATATAGAATTATATAGCAATCTATGGACGCTGAAGCCAGAATTACTCTATGAATAACATCTGCACAAATGTTTATTAAAAACTGGCTTTTTTTCTCTTGTTTAATTTCTGTTATGTACTGCAAAGTCATTGGATCATTTCCAAATTGATAATTATAGTATGATAGTGCTCTCCATAACTTGACACTGAAATAGTGTTCACCCATCTTTCTTATCAATAGGAGCTCCTGTGATCAAGTTCTTAGAGCTGTTTCCACTGGCGTGGCTTTCACCCAACTGACTGGTACCCTTTTCTTTGTAGGTACTCACAGCTGGGATATCTGCTTTGATCCTTTGAACAATCGTCTGATAAGCTCTTGGTTCCAATTTAATCAAAGTGTGCAATGGAATTGACATCCACGGGGACTCTTCCTGAGGTACATTCATGAAGTACGCATAGATGCATCTTAACACGGCTTGGTGGGTAATGATCAAGATGTTCTCTTGGCGTTCCAACTCCATGATTATCGGCTCTAGTCTAATGACAACGTCTCTGTAGGACTCACCACCTCTATAGCGGTATTCGTACTTGTTTTCATCACGCTCTTTGAAGTCCTGTGGGAATTGCTTTTCAATCTCTTCATACGTTAGTCCATCACATGCTCCTGCGTCCAACTCATCCAACGCCTTCCATTGTAATTTGTCCTGCTGCAAAAACTGTGCAGTTTGCTGGGTTCTGATCAACGTTGAAGTCCACACAGTCAAGTTATCAACTTGGTCTCCAGCAGCTTGCTTCACCAACTCTGGCAACTTCTGAGCATACTTAAAACCACGTTCACTAAGATCAGCATCTCCTCCAATCTTACCCTCCAGGTTATACATGGACTCACCATGTCTCGAAAGGTATATACACCTTGGTCTGATATGTAAGTTCATAACATAGTAGACGATTCTGCTCTCAAGGTAAGTTTCGATTCTGTTGATGATGACCTGATCGCTAACGTTGATCAACTTGACAAACGTAAGGTCACCATCCTGTTCAATGGTCAAAGGTTCATAAATCTCCTGGTACTTGTCGATACGTTTCATGAAGTCCGATGCGGCGGTGTCCGGGTCCAAACCTTCGTAGTCAGGAGAGGTTGTCTTCACATCGACAATGTTCTTCATGATGATCTTTTCATCATTGCACCAGCTCTCCAAGAACATTGGCTCGATCGAGTTCTCCCTACATAGTCTCAGTAGCCAGTCCCTTCTCTGCCTGGTAGTGTTTGTAGCATCGAGTATGGCAACAACACCATCCTCAGAGTTGAACCATTTCATCATATCGTTAACCGCAGCGGTGGCCGCCTCCTCTCTAATTTTCAACCCATCCTCGTTTTGCGAATCAAAGAAATCAGCCGTCGGATGGGAAGCCGCCTGACGGCGATAGTTACCAACGTTGAAGCATTTGGCCTTTATCGAGAGCCACGATAGGTATCTCACAACTGTTGGTGGGTGTTAGCGCTACGCCATGTTAAGCACAGAATACAAGATGATAGTTAATACTCACTCTTTTGCGAGATGAACGACTTCCCCCTGGCTGGTAGTCCAACCATGATCACACAGATTCTAATGTTCTGTACCTATAACGACGGAACCGCGCTAGCGTTAGTACTCCAATAGACACTCAAGCGATAAAACAGTCGATACGCACATGTGAAACTGTATAGACAGGCATTGTTGAAGATCTGTTGTGCTGTGATGCGCTGAGGTAATGTATAGGTGATGTACGATCTGTATGGATGGGAGACAAAAAAAGGTGACAAAAACCAGTAACAGCAACCGATACAACTGTCGCTATGCCTAACCCCTTGTGAATAGAATAGTCTTTGAATCTGAAGGAGAGATTAGTCGTAGTCTTCTTAGTCCTCTGTTAGCCGCTGTGTTGAGGAGAAATCGAAGGTTCTTTCGTTCGTTGTCTCTTTCTGCTTTTTGTGCTTTTTTCCCCTTCTCACTCTTTTCTTTTTCTTCCTTTTTTCTGCTGCTGTCGCCAGGATTCTCCGCAAAATGGTACGCGCAGCACAAATATAAACAACAACAATAGGAATCTGACGCTTTCTACGGATTACGGATATGGCCTGCGGCCTCTTCTTTTAGTGGCCCTCGTCGACTGAAGAGATGCTCATTGGTCTACAGCTTTAGAGCTTTGAGCCGAGTTCATTATAAGCCTGGTTTTATCACACTTAACGGCACAGATGAAAACATTCCCGCTACTCTCCGGAGTTGTTGTTCCACAACTGCGTTTCCTGATCCGAACTACCGTTAGGGTCGAGACCATGTTTTTTCCCACCTGTTTCAGAAACAGGTAGCGTGATGCTTGAAAAAAAAGCTTCCGACTCTAAAACGGGGACAAAGAGCTGTGTTTTTTTTCACGAGGTCTCGAACAGCTTCAACGATCGCCATGGAAACGGGATGTATTTGTGTGGAGGAAGAGGCGGGACTTGTTTCTGTAACAGGGTTATATCCACTTTCATATGGAAATAAACCGCAACGTGACCTGTCGAACAGATCAGACGATCATGTATGCTCAGCGCAACTGATGCCACCTGTTTATGATTTGGCGTTTTACTAGGCTTTAAAAATAGCAAATGGGGGTTAACGGGCACTTTCAACTTGCGGAAGCCTTTTGCAAGGCATTCCAGCTTGATAGAACAGTGTATTTACATCATCGAGAAAGCTTTCCTCGTAGGCCATGTGAATGCCGTGATAGACAAACCATAATATTACAGCATAGAAGAAACAAGTTTCCTGTGTATATAAATCATATTCATCAACCTTCTATCTTCAAGGGTAGTATTGGTGTTAGCATCTTTGACGGGGAGCGGCGTGAGTCAGACACTCAAATCTCTTTTGTATAGTAGAAATAGATCAATTTCTCTTTGTTGCTATGACTCCATAGTATTCACACATCTTTCTTTTCTCACTCGTACGTCAATTCTATGTCCCTACTTCCATCTTTTCTTTCCACCACTCTCTCTTTGTTTTATTCATTTTCAATCAACCATAAGAAAAGCAAAGAAAATAAAACGGCCTAGTCCTGGTTATTGATTTTCCGTAGCCATGGTGCCCTTCTTCAAGATTTACTTGAATCACCATCTTCACCGTGCTTGTTGGAATCAGTCAACAAATCGCCAAATTGACCATCGAGCAAATCAACAGCTTGTGGTTCCTGAGCTCCCACAGCATCACCATCAGCAACAAGTGATGTGTGTGAAACAGGGAGGTCAGAGGATCCAGTCAACAGTGGAGGAGCATCAACAGGGGTAGATAAGAATCCACCAAGTTCGGCGCACCATCCGATCCACTCATCTATCCAACATCTCACTACCCACCATCCACCAAACCCGGGTCCACCAGCAAGAGAGATTTCACGTAGCGCACTGGTTAACAATGCTGATGCACACAACATGAACAAACGTGGTGGAACATCTTCAAAATTTTCAGGTAACCCTGCAACGAACAAACCCCAATCGAAGATAAACGAGTCTTGATCGTTTTTGTCCTTCTTCAACAACTCTGGAACTTTAACTTGAAGAGTTTCGACAGCTTTTTTGAGATTTTCACCATTACACGGCAATTCTTTGAATACGATGGCTTCAACGTTGACACTTTTGACCCAGTCGTCCAACATTAATTTTCTGTCAATACTGTGAGAGAGCACATTGTTAGCTGATTGACCTGTCTCTGACACTCTCACCAAACGAGACATAAGTTGAGCAAATTGTTTTGAAAGTACAAGTCTTGCCTTGACCAATTGTGGTGGCATCTTTTTCATCGAAAGATGCAATTTTTCTGTATAGTTTTGTGAGATCTGTTTCAACTGTTGAAGCACAGGGCCGGGGATCTCTTGTAGAGCCAGTTTAGCCAACATTTTAACCACAGCTTTGTACATTATGGTATCACATGCCAAGATCCAATCCATCATCGAAGGAACATAGTAAAGTTTCAACACAGGTGCAGTTAATGACCCGTCAAATTTTGACAATAGAGAGTACAATCTCTTCAGTTGGACATACCTCATAGACTCGAAAACAGACGTGCAGTGTGATTTGTAGAGACCATAAAGGGTGTCAGCAACATCCAAATCAGTCTCAGGAGGCAAATAAGGTTTGATATCAGGTAATTCGATTGGGCCATCGAGTGAAGTTGTGGTCTTTTCGTTCATCAATGCCAATAGATCTGGAGTGAATTTCAGACTTGGAGAAATGTGTTCATTCAAGAAATTTGTTATTGAAGTTGCAGATGTTGAGTTTGTAATATTCGACAACAGTGGTGTTGACACTTGGGAATGTAAAGATGCAGGAGAGTTTGAGCCATATGGGGTTCCTGGTAAGAAGGTACTTGAGTCCAACCCACTGTGGTTATGTAATGGGGTATTAGCTGTGGATGTGAGCGCCGAGTTACCTTCATCACCTATCAAACTCAAGCCACAATAATGATACTTTGATTGACCTCTCATACCCAAACGACGTGTAGTCAATTTAGGAAACACAATTCGCACCAATTTGCCAAAAGAAGCTGGGGAGAGTGGTTTGAGGCTGTTCTCTGCACATATACCAACGTAGCGCGCATAGATTCTATTCCTTGGAACTACTGCATCCTTTGAGGCATTACAAGCTCTCATGAGCCACGTCATTCCAAACACCTGTCTTTGTCTTTCTCTGGTAACTTCTGATTTTACATGCAGAGTCTTACCATTAGGTAGCGGGGTGGATACAGTGGAATCAGCCTGGGCCTCTACCGCCTTAACTTGTTCAGCAACTTGATCCAAGGGAAACTCTAGTGCTTTTTCAGCCAAGTTTTTCAACTCCAAATCACCATCTTCACCTGGGAAAGCATGATCGGATTTTCTCATTCTCTTTCTTGCAGATTCAGACGTTGAGCTTGAAGAATGTTTTCCTTGGGTAGAATCTCCAGTCATTTTCGAAGGTGTATGTAAGTTTGACATGGGCCTCGATGGTGGAGGTTGAAAATTAACTGGTACACCACTCATTTCGTGCTGAAGCGGTATTTGCATCTGTGGGTTTACATCTGTGGCCATTGGTCCAGAGACAACCAGTTGAGGATGTTGCTCCTGGTGCTGTTGTTGCTGCTGCTG